GTTAATGTAGTGAAGGCAAATCCTAAATTGAGTGTTGACTCAAAGATTATCCAGTTAACTTGAGACAACGTATCAAGCCTTCTGTTCAGTATCTTAATGAAGATAAACAAAGGCCATTCACACAACTGACAGTCGGCCTCCAGGCCGAAGGCTTAATCTAAATCAGCTCTATTCTTCGAAAAAAAAAACACAGCAGGAAGACGGGTTAAAAATGTAAATAAACTCCCGACGTATTTCTCCCACGGACACAGTTACGTCTCTTTTCTTTCATTTCTGAAGATTCCTATCTCAGATTCAACTTTCACTCCGGCAAACTTTGTACCAAAGTTTTAACGAGCTTTTAATGACTTGGGAAAAGTTAGCAATCGGCTTTAAATAAAGAAATAATTCAGAACCGATAATTTTACATCGGTGGGTATACAGTGTTTCAGAAGTTATTCCAACCGATCTTAGTAAGGAATATAAATCATTGTTTCTAAACGTTTTTATTGCAAGGATTTATGCATAAATTATATCGAATTGATTGCTCTTAAATTAATGATAAAATTCACAATAAAATATGTCGTCATGTATTTCGAAACTCTTGTATGTGCATTTTTGTTCTGTAGTTATTAATTTTCGGAATTTAACTATGACTTCAGGTTATGTCAAATATAATCTACTATAAACTGTATTTTATTTTGCGACGTTATACTTTTTCTAATCGCCACTTATTTTTCCCCTTGTTTTATTTGGATACTTGGTGTAAAAAACACATCTCTAAATATGTTTTCTCCTATTCTGTCCATCTTTGATTAAATCACTGTCATTTATAAATAATTTTCTACATCATGCCCCTCTTTCGGTGCCTGTCTCTCTCCCTTTATCCTATATCAATCTTTCCCTTTCTCTTTCTCTCTCTCTCTCTCTCTATCTCTATCTCTATCTCTCTTTCCCTCTCTCTTTCCCTCTCTCTTTCCCTCTCTCTTTCCCTCTCTCTTTCCCTCTCTCTTTCTCTCTCTCTCTATCTCTATCTCTATCTCTCTCTCCCTCTCTCGCTCTCTCTCTCTCTCTCTCTCTCCCTCACTCACTCACTTTACTCTCTCTTGTTCTCATTTTATTGTCTCTTATAAATTCGTTGCAAAACGGATTATTTGTTTTGTCATTTCATATAACGCTCTCTCACTCTCTCTCTCGCTCTCTCTCTCTCTCTCTCTCTGTCTGTCTCTTTCTCGTTCTCTCTCTCCCTCATTATCTTTCTAACTATCTATCTATCTATTTCTCCCTCTTTCACTTCATTATTTCATCTATATATCTATTTCTCCCTCTTGCAATTCACTCTTTCTATCTCTCCTTCGCCCTCTCTCTAACTCACTCTTGTTCTAAAACTCACATTTTCACTTTATTTTATGTTATAACTTCATCGCATAACGTATTGTTTGTTTTATCATTTGATATAACGCTAGCTCTCTCTCTCCCTCAACTATATTATTGTTAGATTTCTTCTTTTCAATTTGCAGTTATTATGTTCTTTATTTCCACTGGTTATTCGCAATTTATCCCACCGATCCTTACATTAATGGGTACAGTTTTATGATGATAATGTAAAACATCAATCAATATTATCATTTTGGATAGATACTATTTTTAGTTCATTATACAATCAGTTATTGGTTGCTGAAACCTGGCCACAATAAGAAAACAGCTGTAAATAAATAAAGACCTCCAGACCCTGTAATTTTACGGACGGTAATAATGGACACAATTTCAGACGATCTTTTGGCAAAAATAACAAAAATCACTACTTATCTAAATGTATATTATGCGTACTGCTAGATTATCATTGAGGGACGAACAATCCCTATGGCCATGGCACGAAAGGACGGTTAAGATTTTATTTTTGATTCTGAGAAAGACATCTACGATAAATAACATTATCGATTTGTCCAAAGAATTTAACATTTAAAACGGATGAGGAGTTTGTACTCGACTAATTATTAATTATTGAAGTTTTTCCGGTTTGCTTGCTTTTTTGGAGGTTCAGGAAAAGTTAAAGTTCAGTAAATAATTATATATCGGTTTTCTGACCTTTCCCTCGCTCCTTCTCTCTCACTCTCTCTCTCTCTCTCTCTCTCTCTCTCTCTATCTATCTATCTGTCTATCTATCTATCTATCTATCTATCTATCTATCTATCTATCTATCTATCTATCTCTCTCTCTCATAGCTAAGCACTTCGTGTGTATGTAAAATGTAAATAATGTTCTCCAGTGAGACCAAATTTTGCGAGATATATAACATATTGAATAAAATTCAATTTTATTCAATTCCGTTTTTAACAGGATCCAATCCTTCTCACAATAGTTGATGCTGCATTCTACCATCATCACCAGTCATACTATTCACTCCGATTCCAACACACCCTTCAACCCAAACCTGGCCAAAATCCCGCTGCAATAAATTTCACTCGAAACTATCCTCTCATGACAACCCATTAAAACGCGACCTATCCATCTCAACCCTTTTTTTCCAACCCCGAGAAGACTGAAAAGCAGGTGGCCTCGCGACCATTGATTTAACTTTGGCACCTCTGGGAACCTCTTGACTTTACACCTTCGTTCAAATCAATCACTCCAGACATGTAAATGGGAATGAAATATGTATGTTTATATCTATATGCTTGTAAATAATTAATATGCTTATGCATTTTGTAAGCAAGTATTAAAAAAATCAATTTTTCTTTTACCCTCTCTCTTTCTTTTTTGCTTATTAATCAATAAATCTACTCTTATTCCTGTTGTTTCTACCTATTTATCAATCACTTACTCAAATAAAATCATTTTAACAACTACAAACAAATTTAATCTGTTAAAATGTAATTATTTAATCTACGAATCTTTAATAATGGTCCTTAATTTCTTGCTGTATCAGAATAGATTTTTTTCTTACTCTTGTTTTGATTTTTCTCTTCCTCTTGTGTTTCTTTTTTCACTGTGTCGTCTAAATAATTGTTGTATAAAGATGTTTCTTTTTTTTCTTTAACAGAATGACATTTGCAATTTCTAGGATTATGTAGTAAATTATTTTCCTTATCAAAGCACATCCTAAATCGGAATTTCAATTTGCAAGTAATCGCCTTAGGGTTCAAACTAGACCGTAATCAACGGATGACTGATGATTGTTTACCATGTGGCGAACCGCATTCTACGAAGATAATTTTACCTTGGGAAAACAGCTGCTCAATCCAACCGTTGGCAACGCAGTTAACACATGCGGTTTTAGAAACCTCACCCAACATCACAACTGTGTTTGAGAAGTTGACGAATTACTGTAATCTGTGATAACAGGCTGTATTCTAGCTTTTATCTTCATTAATAACGTATGGAAGAGCTTTTTCCTCCTTAGAGTACACAAAAATAATTTTCTTCTAATAAATGATTGCCTAAGGTAATCATATCGCGACATTTTATTAGCCGAAAATGTTTTGGCACTCAGGTCGAGTTTCGTGACTGAACGTTAATAAATAATTAGTTTAACCCGGCCTACACGCTCGTTTTCCGAACCTTCAGTTAAACTAATAAATTCTACCCGTTTGGACGTTAATCTAGAGCCTTTTATTCCAAAACTAAGCATGGTCCAACGACAAGTTGGTCGCAGAAGTTTTATAATTTATTGTTGATTAAAATGAACGACAAGAATTCGCCGTTTACGAATTATAAATTAAATTACTAATTAAAGTGCCAGTCAGTTGGGAAATTTTCTTAATTAAACATTTATTTTGTTTTATATGCAATGAAAGTTTTGTTAGCTTAAATAGTACAAGGAAATTATAAATATTTAATAATTGTTAAATATTTTTAAACTGTATTTTATACTATATATTTTTTATCTCCGTATTTTCCACTAATGTTATTGACTTGTTTAAAATATGTGCATGTAAGGTGGTAACATTGCTACCATTGTAACACTACTTGATGTTCCCATAAATCCCTTCTCACTTACGTTGGGATTGTAATAAATAGGTAATATTTCTGTATTTAGGTATGTCCTAAGTTATTTTTATTGTGTTGATTGATAGCATTAACTTGTTATTACAGGTATTATAATCACGTTAAACCATCTTAGAAATTGCACGATCGTTGTCACTGTGCATTTTCACGTTTTGGAGAAATCGGAGAAAGAATTTAAGATCCAGTGTATTTCTTCTCATATGAAGATTTCGCAGTTATTATCAGAAGATCGTAAAGGTTTACATTTTCATTCAATATTATTTAGTAAGAGACCGAGACAAAATGCAACAGCTGTTATAAAAATTGCTGATCACTCTGGAACAGTTTTTGTAAAGATAAACATGGACGAGCGGGCTTTGGATTCGAAGTCAAATTTCTTACAAATGGACTTTTCTTTTCAACAACTTCGGAGGTTAAAGTGACAAGAAAAATGTACGAAAATATTTGAAAAGAAGTGGGTTTTCAATTTGCTCTGGAAAAATATGATCTTTTGTAATATTTTCCATCTAATGAGCCTATACAATGAGCTTTAGGAAATCGGATAAAACACTTTGAACATGAAATCAAAATTCTGCTAGAGATGCTTCTCAATCATAAATTTTGCATTTCGTAATAACAACCGTACCTATTTTAAAGCTCGCTTCAATATATACCTTTGACGTTGTGAACAGCAACCTAGCAATTTTTTTAAGCAAAAAAAAAGTTAAATTTTGTCCATTGTGAAATACGATTTTGTTTAAGTAAAAAATATGTTTTTCGTAAATTTTTCGCCTTCTATTTTTTTTTAGCCAAATTTGATAAAATATACAATAATAATTATATATATATATATATAAGGTATAAAATTTCCATCCTCCATAAATTAAAATTGAATACACATAGCAAATAAAATGTTTCAGAAGTTTTTATTGACCTAAACACTTAGTTTTTTTCACGTGTAATAACCTAAAATCTAAATATTGTAGATATAGTCTGAAAATAAGAAATTCATTATTTCAGCTGTTTAGAAAAAATCTAAAGAAATTCTGAATTTTTATGTAGAACATTGGACATTGAAGAAAAAATCCTTGTTTCGATTAGTAACGCAGACTTTAATGTTTAATTTACAATTATTTTAATTAATGATCCATGTACGTTATTATGTAATTAACTATACTTAACGATGTTTTTAGGTCTGTGATGTTCTATTTATGTGAAGTTTGGGATTATCAGCGGATGTAGTTGAGACAATACGCAGGTTTTGCATCAAGGTCTTTGCCCGCCTTAACTCTTAGTTGCCTGTTGTACATAGACACCTTCGGACCTTTGACGGTATGCAAACTGAGACTTCACTTTAAATATATTCTTAAATTATTTTTATGTGATTGATATCAGCCTTAATATATCCGTATAAGGATATATAAAAATCAGGGATAAGGCAAATCTGAAAGGAAGAAAGCACATAGTTTGTTCTTCAAGGTTTCAAGGAATATATTCGCCTTCATCAGGATCAATACAAGTGATAGGAAGTTCGGACGGAGATTACAGTCGTTATGTGGAATGAACAAGGGTAAAATCTCGTCCATCCTTAAAAGTAACACTTTATGATTATTAAGTGTGTGGTGTTTAGAGACCGTTCGTCAATGGTTATTCAGAGATCGTGATATGCGGTCTGGTGTGACGTAGGTTTTAGAAAAACGTTTTCTTTATCTTGCCAACGTTTCGATCTTTATTGAGATCATTTACTTTATAAACGTTTATAAACATTGTTTACATTTTAAAAATACATGTAGGATGTGAAAAAATGAATTTATACAATGCTAGAAATTTTAGATTAAAAAAAAAATAAATAAACAAAATGGATTTATACAATCCTACAAAATTTTAGATAAAAAAAATAAATAAATAAAAATCATATACAAATTTTTCACATCCTACATGTATTTGTAAAATTTAAACAATATTTTGAAATCTCAGACCCTGAACATGACCTCAATAAAGATCAAAACGTTGGCATGATAAAGAAAACGTTTTTCTAAAACCTACGTCACACCAGACCGCATCTCACGATCTCCGAGAACAAGAAAGTTGATACAATTTCCATCCTCCATAAAGAGGCTAAACCTGAATAAGTCAAATAATACGGTTTCACAGGGTTTGTGACACTAAAAACCTAGTTTTTCTCACCTGTAATAACATAAAATCTGTACATTATTGACATAGGCTAAAAAAAAGAAATTCAGCTTTCCGAGAGAAATTCTGAAATTTGATGTGTAACGCTGGAGATCGGAGCAAAAATCTTTCTATTTTTCGTTAAGTAGCACAGGATTTAATGTATAATTTATAATAATTTTACTTAATGATCTGTGTACCTTGTTATGATTATTTAGAGATCGTGAGATGCTGTCTGGTGTGATTAGGTTTAGAAAAATATTTTCTTTATCGTGCCGACGTTTCGATCTGTATTCAGATCATCTTGTGGGCCTAATATTACACAGTATTATGTAATTAATAAAAGTTAATTTACTTATTTAATGCTGTATCTAGGTTTGTGTTGTTCTATGCAGTCAAGTATGGGGTTACCAACGATGTTATTGAGATATTCCAGCGGTTTTTACATCAAGAAGGTCTTTAGCCCTCCTTTCCTCAACTCCTAGTTGCATGTTGTACACACCGACGGACTTATTGATGGTACGCATTAATTCTCTTCAGTTATCGTGAAGTAATATATGGCTTAATTGTACAATAAAGTTAAGTAAATCAGAGATAAATCAAATCAATCTTCAAGCTTTTAGGGAATATATCCTTCATCAAGACCTATTGATCTGATAAGAAAACCAGACGAAGGTGACAATGGAAGAACTTGTTCATTCTTCAAAAAATCATAATTATGGTTGAAACAATTGTTGCGTGTATTGTAAGTAGATATATATGTAAAACGTTTAAATAATTAAATTTGTCTAAGGCCTATTGCACAGTGGAACATTTAATCTCTGGAAATCTGGAAAAACTAAGAATAGGTAATCCCCTTCTGGGGTGGATCGATTCTTTTCTGTCGGGGAGATCTTTTATAAAGATAAAATTCGGGGAGGACTATCGGCCCCTGTCTTTATTGACTCCGGTGTCCCCAGGGCTCTTATTCGGAGCCAGTATTGTTTCTGATATTTTTCAATGACGTTTGATCAGTCATAACATCTCATTTTCATTTTTAGTTGAGGACCTACAATCTTTCGTCCAACTTCCTCATTTGAGCAATGTAACTTACTGCAAGAGGCTTTTTGGTCTTGGTGCGACAAGAATAATCTTAAATTAAATGTAAATAAGTGTATAGTCATACGATTTTTCAAGAAATAGTTCACGAATGAGTTTGAGTTGTCTGGTTACAAATTCAATGGTCATCCCATCGGCGACTTCGGTTCAATCTCGCCTCGAAGCTCTTAAAATAAATCATTTAAAACTTGGGCTTCATAAAAATGCAGAAAATGTATTCCCCATAAAATCCTCTACCAATCACTTGTCCCTTGCCATTTATAGGAATGCAAGTATTGTTTGGTCGCCACGTTAAACAGCGGATTGCTCATAATTGCAAGGGGCAAATGAGTGTATTATTCTGCATATTTACTGTTCAAAATGAATATAATGACAGTAGCGAGTTTCCTTACACTGAAAGACAATTTTGTCGGACTGGATTCTATGTAAGACATAGAATTTTGGCTTCAACCGCGTTCTTACGGAAGATATTGATTGGTTCTACGGAGATGTCCAGCATTGGTATATGGTCCATATCGTCGAGTCCTCTCCCGTGATTTATTCTATATCCTCATCATAAGATGAATTTTGTCTTGTGTGGGCGGGAATTTCTCGGATAGTTCGGCACATCGATATGGAGACGCGGACCTTTTCTTGTCGGTTATCAAAAAGAAAAATTCACTAACGTTAAAAGAGTGATGCCCTGAGCACCGTTTATTTTTATTTATTTATTTATTGTATTTTGTTTTCTGTTTTTGGGTTCAATTTTTTCCTTGACCGCAGGTTTCATTGTTATCTATTGCAGTTGTTATCTAGTAGCAATCTATTTCTTTTATATAATGTTGTTTTCATATTCTGAATTTTTACGTAAGATTTTTGTACTCTTGACTATTCGGTTCTGGGCCATTGGATCCGTTTGATTTACCTTAAAATAAAATAAAATTCCTAATAGTTTTAGTGAAAGCGATATATTCCTCGAAAGTTTGAGGAAGGAACCACATTTTTTCTTTCAAATTTGGATTATCCCTTATTTTTTCGTATATAATTAAGTTCGTAAAATCCGTAAATTCCAATAGATAATGAAAAGTAATACGTTCTTGTTCTTACACTGGCAGTATTCAATTAGCAAATATTCCATTTCACATTGTTTCACACTACATATCTGCCTTTTTTTTTTATAGTTTATCATTGGATATGATGACATATTTTTGTACTTTACCACTCGATATGATGACTTTCACTTTTACTACTGGAGATGCTGATCTATTTTTATAGTTTACCACTGGAAATGTTGGTCTATTTTCATTGTTTACTACTTGAGAGATGCAGTCTTGTTTTTATCGTTTGACCGCTGGAAATTTTGTTCCAATTTCAAGGCTTACTGATTTACATGCTAGCATATTTTCTTAGTAAACCACTAGTATATTATCATTTTAACCACTGAACATGCTGGCATATTACCATGGTATATACTTTTCTAATTTATGAAGCTTTAATAAACATATCAATTTTTGAAACATCAAAAATATAATTCATCTTTTATGTGAAACAAAGTAATCAACAAAACTTTTAAAATCCACAGGCTTTTGATTACTGCTGTTACTTTCTTCTTTTAAATAGTTCAACGGAGAAGACGATTTGAAGTAAACAAATGTGAACAAAGCAGCTTTCAAATGTTCTGTGTATTCTTCTTTCAAAATCACTGTGCGATATCAAGACGAATAAGTAAGTGTTGCTCTGGCTTCAACTCACTTTTACCTATATAACGAACATGATCACATTTTCTCATACATTATCTAATTTTAATCAGGACAAATTTGATTTTTTGTGGTTTGCCAGGGTGTTTAAAAGGCTTGTGGTCTTTACGTAACGCTGGGGTCGTAAAAGAAGTGAAACGCTTCTTCTTCGAATGCCCTAAAAGAAATATTAATAAATCAATCGTCGGGTTAAACTCTGAACCTTCACATTTATCAAATATTGAAGACATGCATGGGCAATACATGTATGAATTTGTTAATTTAAATTTTAAACTGTTTGTACAAGCTTGTTTCAACTGTTAGCTTTACTTATATTCAGAGAGCGGATTTTTATACAGTAAACATTGCCAAAATATGCCATAAAATATGCAGTTAAAAGCCTTGAAATATGCAATAATGTGCAGTTATAATCCGTTAAAATATGAATTGATAAACCAGTTTTTTTACTATCGTAGTAACTTTAAACAGAAATCCATCATATTTAGTGGTCTATTGGCCAAAGTACTTCTTTCAATTAATTAATCTTTTTTTTATGTAAGGTTTTGGTCAAAATGAAATAGTTACTGCCACGAGCGGGATTTAAACAGAAATATATATAATTAAATTACATATATATTAACTTTTTTTTTAACAAGGATATTTCAACTATGAGGTTGAACCCTCGGGGTGCCGCTGTTTTGAAAAAATCCCATTTGTAAGTATGTCGGGTTCGAATCCAGCGGCTCTGGATTCGAACCCGAGACTTTTATTTTACAGTGATGAGCCTGAACCGTTGCGCCCACCGATGCCCCTGGAGTTTTTTACATTTAACAAAACTATTTTCTCATTTACATAGTTAAATTATATATTTTATACTAATTGAGTGTAATTAATGCTAATAAACAAGTACTTCTCTAAATCGTCTTTCGTGAAATAGTGCCTACAGTCACTTAAAATTTGTGAGAATATTGAATATTGAAATAAGACCTAAGAAGGGGTTTTATATTCTTTGGTCGGTATTTCTAGAATCTTCTCTTCCCTTCGTTGCGGCCTGTTTCAGTTTTCTTCAAATTAAACCAACTTTTCGTCAACTTGTTATTTTTCTTTTACAGAACTTTTTCATCCTTCCCCCGAAAACCAATATCTCATTTTAAGTATTTTGCGCTATTAATGCGACTTTACGTTAAAATCCTTCAAATATGCATTTTTATGCGATATTCATCAAATATGCAAAAATATACTCTATAAAGTTTAACCAACTGCTTCCTAGATATACGATTAGGATATATAATTGATTTCCTCGGTCCTATGGTTAACAAAATATCCAACTACATAAAAATCCGGTCTCTACTTATATTGTTCTTTAATTTTCTTTTCTTTTCTACTATTGTTTTTAAGAACAATGGCAATGTTGACAAAATATTGTCCGACACTAAAGATTTTGACATTGTAAGAGGAAGTTTAAGCATATAAAGTAAAATAAATAAAAAATATGTATTTGATCGAGATCCATATAAAGCACACAGATTCACTGATGCTTGCAAGAAGAGAATCAGGATTAGATTTTCATTCAGGAATATATAAGGTTGGTGGGGTGTAAGTTTGGAAAATGTAGCATACCAGTAGGACAACCAGAACGTGTTTTAATATCTGAAGAGCAGTAATTTTTGAGAGACAAATAATCAAAAATTAAGATTTTTCAGTAGTTACAAGACTCAGGGTAGATCATGGTCTGTGAATGTCTTTTAATAGAAAATATAGCTAGGGTTTGAGAAGGGTAGGTTTGAAACTTTTTGATAATAAATTTCTGAACTACGTTTTGTGATTCTAATCAGCATCTGAATTTGGGTGATTTCCGGTAGGTTTATAAATTAAGATGCGAGCTACTTTGGATAAATTACACCCCCCACTGGATGTAGAGGCCTTCTGCCTTGTGCTCTCTAAGCAACTCAGAGAGGCCATGTTCATTTCTTAGCGGAATGCACAATTTTAAAATAAATTCCATCTAAGCAGCAGTTTCTTGCCTGTAAATGAAATTATCATCGTGCTGAACTGTGAACTGAGTACATTTATCAAAAATTGCAGACTTGCCTGGCCATACAATTATGAGTTTGTTTATGAACTTAAACCGTAAAAACGCTGTACTATTTTATGTCAAATGTTGGCTTTACTTCTGATATTTGATCTTTAATTTAATTTTCTTTTCCACTGCTGTATTGTTTATGCAACCATTGACCTCGGGCAGGTATTTTTCATGTAGTACGAGTTCCTTTGAGTAATTTAGCAATGTATTCAAGACTTTTTTAGAACAGTGATAAAGTTATTAGAAATGATGATGGTAGGGTCAGTATGTAGATCCAAATTTGTAAAACGTGGTTTCTACTTATTGTGTTTTTACCTTTTACAACAGCAATAAAGTTGGCGAAATGAAAATATTTTCAGGCACCGAATACTTCAAAATCGACGAACTTGGACAAGATTAATTAAAAATAGTAAAATTGAAAGATTTAAAATACTTTTGTATTGAACAAATGATAATTGGCTAAACTTATTTTTTTGTTTACCCAGGAATTGGTTAAATAATTGCTTTATACAAAAATAAAGTCAAAATTTGTTCTCTTTTCCCGTTACAGTTAAAGATGCCTCTCTGATTTCTTTTGATCGTGCCCACCAGTCTGTGATTGTCAAGAACTTCGGTATCGTAAAAGAGACCAATTTGTGAAAGGAGCTAAAACCTCGAGGTCAGACGAAGGTAATTCGTTTTCGAGACGGTGTAATCAACCAGATCTGCCCCTTTTATTAGGCCGTCGACAATTTTCTGAAAACGGTAGTTAAACAAGATAAAGCTGATATGAGTCATATTTTGTCGGGAATTGCAAAACCTGCCCATTATTGTCTCTTTTATATTTTTAATAAGCTTGTGTTATACATTTTCCATGTAGTTGTTGAAAATAATAGCGTTCCCCATTCGATTCAATTTTTTCCGCGTCGTTTTCCAAGAGACCGACATGCTAGAAAAGCAGGGCTTAACTGAAGTTAAAGGTTTTCGCCCCTTGAGAGTAATCCTGCCGAGACCTTTTCAAACTGCATATTAAATGAACTCGAATATTTCCTTTTTGTTGTCACCCGGCATGGTAGGTTTAATTTTTAAAGAAGCCACAAAGGAATATTAATTTCTCTTTCTTTTGCGTAATATTTGTTACATTTTTTATATTCTTTTTAGACAACTACCTGTACAAAGGAGAGTCTTTCAACCGTCGGTAGCAATGAAGTTACAACCGATTACATTGACTATAAGATGATGAAAATATGAAGTTGTAAACAATCTAAGTATATGTAATAAAAGGAAAAGCATCAACAAAACAGATCTGTATTGTATATATTGCTGAGTATGATCAATGATATAGATTCACTGGTTAAAAATATACACAGATATACTTAGTTTATCTTTGTTCGTTGTAAAAATAGTTTGTTTTTCTTTTTTAAGGCATTGATTATCCATTGAATTTGGATTTATATCTTTACGAGTAACACCTGGAATATCTATTTATCGAATGAAGACTGCTGAAATCACAAGAAAAAAAACAAAAACGGTATGAAAAATAAACATAATGTATTGATTAACTAGGTGAGGACGCATAACGTCATGAGAAAGAACATTGAAGTATAATGGTCTATTGTGTACAAAGCAGGTTTTCTTTAAATTAAATTAAATTTTTTATTTTGCATACACTGTTCGATCGCGCTGTTAATTTCTTTGTTACCTCCTCGTCTTTCCTTGTTTTTATAGCCTTTGTAACCTTGCTAATTTTGTAACCTTCAGTTCCGTTCAGCTAAATAGTGAGGTATGTACATAATGAAAGAATTCTTAATGTTTCTGACAAAAAGATGGGTTCATTTATTACAATAAAGAACGTTGTAGCTCTTTAGCAGGACTAGGGACGTGGCCAGAAATCCATTAGCAATTAAAATATACGGCATTATAAACGGTGTGTTTAGATAGTTTTGTTTTGTAGATTGAAAATAGTTTTATCACCAAATTAAATTAAAATAAAATCAATTGAATTATGTAAATACATTTTCATTTTATTGTTAGTGGCTTGATTCGTTGGGCGGTTAGACAATTTAATGACGTGCACTAATCCATTAATAAAACATTAAATCTAGTCCTCCGCTGCAACAAGCCTTCGCCCAGGTGTCGGCAACCGGAATGGCACTGCCTCTAAATTCTTTTAAACTTATTTCAGTTCTATTCAAAGGCGTGCATGGGTCCTATTAAATAGTTAATATCACTGCTTTCCATTTCGGTTTTCCACTTGGTTGTGATTTGTAATCTGCAAAAAGGAATACAATGTGATGAGTTTCTCAATGACAGGAAATTTATCTATTATTTTCATCATTATTTAGAGATCGTGAGGTACGGTCGGGTGTGCCGTAGGTTTTAGAAAAACATTTTCTTTATCGTGCCAACGTGTTCTTTAATGAGATCACCTTCAGTGCCGAGGATTTATAAATGAATTTAAATTTTACAAATACATGTAGGATTGGGGTAAAAATGAATTTATACAATGTTAAAAAAATTTAGATTAAAAAAAAAGTTCATTTATACATTGCTAGGACATTTTAGATTTTAAAAAATGAATTGATACAATGCTAGAAAGTTTTAGATTAAAAAAAAATGAATTTATACATTGCTAAAACATTTTAGATTAAAAAAATGAATCTATACAATGCTAGAAAATTTTAGATAAAAAAATTTATACAATTCTAAATTTTTTTTAGATTCAATCAAAGTATTTGTACTCACACAAAGTGTTTGTTTTTCGTATAGATGTGTCATTCTTGTATGTTCAGAGTGTCAGTGAAATATTGATGTTTTATGTTTATATACGTTGGATTTTGAAGGGGTGGTGAAGGAAGTCGGGATAGAAAGACATTTTTTATATGGGCAGTCGGCTTCTTTGAGGCGAAAGGAGCTTACAATGAGAAAAACGTGGGTAATGGTTCGGCGTGATTATCCTTTATAAAGTCGGGGGTAATTAGGAAAAGGAAAGCCAACACATAAATTTTCTTGCATTGTATAAATTATTTTTTTTTATTCTAAAATTTTCTAGCATTGTATAAATTCATTATTTTTTCAATTTAAAATGTTCTAGCATTGTATGTTTTTAAAAAATCTAAAATTTTCTAGCATTTTATAAATTCATTTTTTTAATCTGAAACATTCTAGCATTATACAAATTCTTTTTTATATAAAATGTTCTAGCATTGTATAAATTAATTTTTTTAAATCTAAAATTTTCTATCATTGTATAAATTCATTTTTTTTTAATTTAAAATGTTCTAGGCATTGTATGTTTTTAAAAATCTAAAATGTTCTAGCATTTTTTAAATTCATTATTTTTTAAAATCTAAAATGTTCTAGCGTAAGTAAAATTTAGAATGAAGTACAATATTAGATAACAATTCCCATTTTGCCGTATTTTGGGAATTGAGTTATTATTGTTTCATGAATTTAGTTAAAATTGCATACTATATCGTAACGTTAAAGATTCTCCTAACTAAAATATTTCAATTTTGACGTTGAAAAGGAAGATACTTACTTACATTTAAACTGAGACATGCATTTCTGGCGACTTGTTATCGTGTAGGTCAAGTCGCCGAAGCGAAACATTGGTTTTCTTGTAGGGTTGGAATTTTTTACTGCTCCTCCTCCCTTCTGTGCAATTGAGAATGAATTGATGTCCCAATGTACATTTTAGTAACGGAAAAAAAATATTTGTACTATAAAAAATACAATTTTTTAAAAGTACCTGGGAGTGAGCAGTTGATCGCGTCCATTTCCATTTTCTTTCCTATCATCGTTCACATTGGTTCTCACACTGTTTAAATATTGTTAATGTAAAAAGTTTTATAACAGTAATATCAAAAATATTTTTTTTAAAAAGTACCTGGCTAAAGCATTTTCATTATTAAGAAATTCTTCATGTTCTTCGTTCCTATTTATTATGTTATTCAAACAAAGTTGATGTTAAAAATTGTATAATTGTAATATCAAAAAAATAAATTATTCCAAAAGTACCTGGTAGAATCATTTTCATTGTTAATCCTTTCTTCGTGTTCATTGTTCCTATTTATTACGCTTTGGAAACATGATTCCAGTTAAAAGTTTTATAATTTTAATTAAAAAAAATAAAAAAATAAATTATTCCAAAATACCTGGTAGATGCAGTTTTATTATTACACTTTTCTGTGCGTTCGTCGTTTGTTTTTTTCATGTCTCTGCTTCTCAAACATGATTGAAGTTAAAAGTTTTATAATTTTAATATAAAAAAATAAATTATTCCAAAATTACCTGGTAGAAGCATTTGCAATATTAATCTTTTCTTCATATTCTTTGATCCTATTTAATACTCCTCCGCTTTGGAAACATGATTCAAGTTAAAAGTTTTATAATTATTATAAATTTTATAAAAAAATAAATTATTCCAAAATTACCTGGTAGAAGAATTGGCATTATTAAGCTTTTCTTCATATTCTTTGATCCTATTTAATACGTCTCTGCTTTGGAAACATAACTCAAGTTAAAAGTTTTATAATTTTAATTAAAAATAAATTATTCCACAAGTACCTGGTAGAAGCATTTGCATTATTAAGCTTTTCTTCATATTCTTTATTCCTATTTATTATGTCTCTGCTTTTCAAACATGATTCAGGTTAAAAGTTTTATAATTTTAATTTTTTAAAAATTATTCCAAAGTACCTGGTAGAAACATTTGCATTATTAAGCTTTTCTTCATATTCTTTATTCCTATTTATTACGTCTCTGCTTTGGAAACATGATTCAAGTTAAAAGTTTTATAATTTTAATTAAAAATAAATTATTCCAAAAGTACCTGGTAGAAGCATTTGCATTATTAAGCTTTTCATCATATTCTTTATTCCTATTTATTAGGTCTCTGCTTTAGAAACATGATTTAAGTTAAACGTTTTATAATTTTAATTTTAAAAAAATTATTCCAAAAGTACCTGGTAGAAGCAGTTTCATTATTAACCTTTTCTTCCTGTTTATCGTTCATGTTTATTGTGTGACTGTTTTTCAAACGTTACGGATGTTAAAATTTGTATAATTTTAATATAAAAAAAAATATATTCCAAAAGTACCTGGTAGAAGCTGTTTCATTATTATCCTTTTCTGTGTGTTCATCGTTTCTATTTTTCAGGTCTCTGCTTTTCAAACATGATTGAAGTTAAAAGTTTTATAATTTTAATATAAAAAAATATAATATTCCAAAAGTACCTGGTAGAAGCATTTTCATTATTAATGCTTTCTTCGTGTTTATCGTCCATGTTTATTGTCGCACTGTTTTTCAAACGTTATGGATGTTAAAATTTGTATAATTTTAATATAAAAAAAAATATATTCCAAAAGTACCTGGTAGAAGCTGTTTCATTATTAATCCTTTCTTCATGCTTATCGTTCATGTTTATTGTCACACTATTTTTCAAACATTATTGATATCAACATTTGTATAACAGTAATATCAAAAAATATTTTTTCTGACAGTACCTGGCGGAAGCATCTTGAACATTATCCCCTTCCTCTTCTCCATCCTGATTGAGTCCAATGTTTCTCAACTGTCTGTTAATTATTGCTGTGATAATTGGTTTCCTTTCTGAATGTTTTGGTCTGCGTATATCTGGACGTGGATAAATGCCTTCTAATATACTTTCCGGAAGGTTGGCTGTCGCTTCGCTTGACCCTGCTGTATTTGTTGTTTGAAAATCATCATCTTCATCTGACGTAAAGTCCACGAGATAGAAATCTTCTTCTCTGCGTGGTCGTATGAATCTACGGCTATCACGCCTGTTCGCTAAATCTTCTCTTAAATGGTATTCGGGTAAGTCTATGATGGTTCTTTTAAAATGTTTGGCCACTTGGTACGCAGATATTGCGCACACCGTGGCCGCTGCAAATTTCAATCCAAGTTTGAGCATTCTCGTCCACATTATGTTGACTTTTAAATTGAAAATTATTCGAACAATTTAACAAAGCGTTAGATGGTTCGAATTATTTCGAATTGTCACTATGGTTACGTGTATCAAATATTACCTATTATTTGATTACATATGACTTTATTTTGGGGTTTACCGCTAGACATTTATAGTATAGATCGCATTTTTTTGTTTGCGGAAGTGGCTCGGTTCTATGAAAATAGGAATGTTGAGGACATTGTAGATAGTGATGTTTGTGACTTACGAGTTTTTGGCACTTCGTTTGCATACTTTTCACTGAATGTATTGGTTGCCTAGACGGAACCCTAAAATGGTCGCGACGTCTTAAATAGTTTTAGATGAGTTTTGAAGGTCAAAACAGATTTCGGTTTTAGAAGTGTTGATAGTTGTCTCAGTCTTCTGTCATATTATTGGCTCTTAAGACTTGTGTAGGAGTTCCCATTTTCAGTCTGTTGACTAGATATAGTAACTGAAGTGGAACTCGGTACATCCTTGTTGTGAAGACGATGGAGAGCAAGTCTGTCTTTTTAATGTAAATGCACACTGGGTACGTCGTTCCTTATTGTCCTCTAGATTTTGTCTTTGATAAGCTCAATGTGTTCTTGGAAGTTGGAGGTTGATTGGATACGATTCGTGTTAAAATACAAAATTGACGTATCATCCGCACTTGTAGTGTTGGTGGTATGCATAATAAAATCAGCAGTAAATACAATTTAATAAATAGACTATTGGAAACAAAGTAAATAGCGTGGTAGCATATAATAATATAAATCATTCCGCAACAAAGTTACCTCTTTTGAAATTCTATGTAGTTATATTGAAATCGACTGTTACCTATCATTAACTAAAATTGAAAAATGAAAGAAAGAATGAAAAATAAATAATTGAAATGATCAAAGTATAGAAATTTATGAAAAATGGCAAAAAAGGAGGGAAATTCAAAAGGTGTAGTTGAGATGGGGAGTTAGTGTCCGAGCGGATCGAAGTCATGATAGCTGAAGTGGTAGAGCAGCGGCGTATCTAGCCGAAGGTCGTGGGTTCGAATCCCGCTCGTGACACTGACTTTTTAATATCAACTAAAAACCTTAATTAATTGATAGAAATTTATGTTAATAGTAGGTATAAAAATATGGAAGAAACAGTAGATATAGAAATGCAGATGAAATAAAATATATATAAAAATAAAGGAGAAATAGTACATATAGAAATATAGAAGGAATAGTACAGATAAAAATATATAAAAATATTAGAATTACCTAAAGAAATTATGTAAAAGCTATGCAAAACATTTGGAAATTAAAAACAAATATTATGAAGAATTAATAAAGAAATAAAAAGATTAGATGGTAAATGTGAGACAACCAGGATTGAGCTGAAATATTATAGTGCAACGGGGAAACGTTTTCAACATTAAAATGCCTTGTAAACAAGAGGTAAAAGATATATTTCAGGGTCTGTGAAATTACTTGTTGATTATTAAACAATTCATAGTTACAGCCTAGCTTAATTGTTTACGCAGTGGTTGCATAAAAATTTAAATATTTCAAAATGAATTTGAGAGACCAAATTAAATCATGGGCTATCAACAGCTAGGTCATTTTAGACCGCAAAGCAATCAGTCTATAAATCCAAACCCATTCCCACTCACTCTCTCTCTTTCTCTCTCTCTCTTTCTCACTCTTTGTCTCTCTGTCTCCCTCTGTCTGTCTGTATGTCTGTCTCTCTCTCTCTCTCTCTCTCTCTTTGTCACTCTGTCTCCCTCTGTCTCTCTCTCTCCCTCTCCCTCTTTGTCTCTCTGTCTCCCTCTGTCTCACTCTCTCTCTCTCCCTCTCTCTCTTTGTCTCTCTGTCTCCCTCTNCTCTCTCTCTCTCTCTCTCTCTTTCTAATTAGACAGTTTTTCTTCATCACCATTTACATATTACACAATTTACACTTATAAATAACTTCTTCAATGGGAATACTCAATATTTCGCCATCTGCCCTCTCACACTACACATTCCCGCACGTAAATATATTTATTCAAAACAAACTAGAAGACAAAAACTATCAGTACCAAACAGAATAAAACAACCATGTTTCCTATAAGAATCTGAGTAATGGACCCAAATAATCTCTGCTCTGCTGAAGCACATTCTCATCTCAAGTGACATTCCCTACGCGTTCTATATATGGAATCAAAAAACTCTTCAATTAAGTGGAACATAACGAAAAACTAACAACGTGGTTTTGGGCGCAAAAGTAACTTCGCATGGCCCGTTATTAATCGGGTGAGGATGATCATTCTTCTACTGCCTGATCCTCCGAGGGTCACCTATCGAAAATGGTCTTGATACGTGAAAGATTCTCTGCCGATTCGGCCCATCAACGATGCTACTTTAATCATGTCCTTTATTACATTTTTAGGTTCAAAGGGTCGGATCGTGGTGGCACGTCCGGAGGTTGGGATATATCATTTTTACTTAAATTAACTGTAAATATATTATTACATGAATACGAATCTATACCTGTTATAGGATTTATCAAGTACAATTAATCATTCTTCTAATATTTATTGTCATATTATGCTAATTTGTTTATATATTCATTAAGTCATTCGATGTTGTTATCTAGCAAAAGGTTGTTATAAAAATATGCGCAGCTTACACGCCATTCTTCCACGGCCAAAGGCGGCAGAGTGGAAGCACTTAGGAACGGACTTAGCTCGACAATTAAATTCAAATTAATGTCCATCCAGGAACAACTTTGTTAATGGGTTCAAGTCGGGAAGAGGGAGGGGAATGAGCCATTTCTGAAATCCCATAATGCGTCAGACCGCGGCTCCAAAAACGCTTTTAATACCTTCCACCCTCGGCAATAAATTCTTATTTTATTTCCAATGATTCCATACGAAATGGGAATCTTGGTTTTATACGCCTTGCGAATGATCTGCTGAGCCGGGTCACAACATTTTCTTCGATTTTAACTCGTATTTCATCCGATAACTTTTTATCTGAAAAATATTTAGTTGTGGCTTATAAAATAATACATGATAGCAAGTAAATTATATTCTAAATAAGATTTATATGAAATAATTATGCAACAAATAAAAATTTGAATATTACAGTTAGTATTGGGTATAAAAATGTCTATGTAATATTAAGCATTCGATGTGAGAAAATAAAAACCCAAAAAATGAGTTTAAAGAAAAAGATAAATAAAAATATAGTATATTCATAAAAATTAACGTATATTCATCAGATTATATATGAGAAGGTTGGTTCCATTATAACTTGTGATTTTCTATTCGTACGATAAAGTTCATCAGGTCGACACTCTAATCTCTAAACCATTTAGCAGATATTTAACTTTTTTTTGTTAAATTTCCTTTAAAAAGGCTCCCTTCTTGAACTTTTAAATTAATTTTTGGATTGCTTTTTTTAAACCGAAAATCACATAAAATGTTGAATATCTGCGAGATGGTTGAGAATCAGACAATGATTCATGAGAATCTTTCTGTTGCATGAGCACCTGACGAACAGGGTCATAAGACTGATGAATCACCCAGTACATCTACCTATTTTTTATGTTAAAGTTCAAACTGTTGTACTTTGAACTAATCTTCTAACTGTACGTTGTTTTTAAATTCGTATCGAGTAAGTATTTTTTAGTATAGGAAAACTAATACCTCTACAATATTTATAGACGTTTTATGCTCTGTAGAAGGGTAAATAAAGACATCATGCATCAGGATTTGGAGAGATTTGTTCAATTGTTAAGATTTTTTCCTCCACTTAACTCTTGACCTATCCCGATCAAACTACAACGAAATTAGGGTATAATAGGCATAGTCCAGTAGAGAAATGTTTTTGTGTGTGTTTGTATGTGTGTATGCGCGCCTCTGAAGGATATCTTGAATAATATTCCTCGGTTTTTATGTGAAACAAATTGCCAATTTTTTTATTATTATTTTTGTATTTCTTAGGCAAACTCCAATACAATACATTGATCATCATCACACTTCCCTTTCTTTTTTTTTCTTTTCGCGTCTTCAACCTTCTATTTAGTTTGTCCACCCTGGTGTTTTTACCTGTTCCACAAATGCGAAACAATTGCAAGCAAGACAAATTAAATTTCTCAGACTATCAGTTCACCTAGGTGCTGTGGTAATATATTATAAATAAATAATTTATTATATAATTCAGAAATCGTGAGATGCGGTCTGGTCCGATTGACCAAATAACTTCTTTCAATTAATTAACCTTTATGTAAGGTATTGGTTAAAATGAAAAAGTCAGTGTCACGAGCGGGATTCGAACCCACGATCTTCGGCTCAATACGCCACTGCTCTGTCGTGACATATCGTGACTTCGATTCACTCCGGCACCAACTCCCCATCACAATCTACAACCTTTGGAATTGTCCTTCCTTTTTGCCATTTTTCAACTAAAACCTTACATAAAGATTAATTAATTGAAAGAAGTTATTTGGTCAATCGGACCACGAAATATAATGGATTTAATAAATAAAACGAAGTATATCTTCACTAAAAGCTCTCCGTGGCTACTCCAATTGTCGCCGAGAATCGAATCCTGATTACCCAATATTTGAAAAATGGCAAAAAGGAGGGAAAATTCGAAAGGTGGAGTGAAGGGGGAGGTTGGTGTCCGAATGGATCTAAGTCACCATAGTTCAAGTGGTAACGCAGCGGCGTATTTTGCCGAAGGTCGTGGGTTCGAATCCCGCTCATGTCGGTGACTTTTTTATTTAAACAATACCTTACATAAAGTTTAATTAATTGAAAGAAGTTATTTGGTCAATCGGACCACGAAATATAATGGATTTGAAATAATGTCGAATTCTTTGCTGAACTTTCTTTGGATTAAAAAACACCCCAACTTAGACCACACGCTCGATCATTACATTGGCATAATTACTACTATTGGACGAAACACAACAATAATCTATAAAAATAGTGTTATAATACCTACATTTAGTTGGTGTAACAGTGATCACAAAGAAGACGATCTCAATAAAGATCGAAATGTTGGCACGATAAATAAAATGTTTTTCTGAAACCTACATCACACCAGACCGCATCT